AAGAGGATTAGAATATTACAAAGTGTGGTGTAGATGGTATGAATGGTTGGAGAATAGGAAAAATGAGAAAGAGGAATAAAGGAAAGGGGGGAAAATGTTGAAGATCAAGGCACAATGTAGACGAAATAAAGAAAGATGGAAAGTAATTGTTGAATAAGACAAAATTTAAAATATGTATAAATAGATGTAAATAGCAAGAAAGGATCACTTTGAAATAGCTGAAGGAATAAGTGATATGTATATAAATGTTGTGTGTTTATGTCTTGTTTTAATGTGTTCAAAATAAAAAAACTTTTTTAAAAAAGGAATGGGGTGAGATCAACACTAGACAATCTAAGGTTAAAGTTTTGTGGGTTTGGGGAAGAAACCACAGAGTCAGGTAGTGCATTTCGGGCGTTGACAACTTTGTTACTGAAGTTATATTTTCTGCAGTCGAGTTTGGACAATGGTCATAACAAAACCAAAAGTCTTTATGAAACCTGGACATCTCACTATCCTATTCCAATTTATAAGTGTGATGAGATTCCTAATGTAATGTTTGCAAATCCATTTTAAATAGTAAACAAATCCCAGTGAAGCTGCAAGAAACGTGATTGTTTCAGTATCAGTATGCAAGTGTGAAAAGAGAGACTGGTTGGTTTTCTGATTATTTCAAATAATTCGCATTATTTTAGAAATGTTTTTCCAAAGTATCTGGATTTAAAACAGTGATGTGTATTTGTATGCATTGAGCAGTGTTTCTGCCTCTACTCCTAAAAAGTTTTATCAGTTTCTCTGATTAACTGGCAGAGAGACCAATTAAATTGTGAGATTAGGATGTGGAACCTGGAAAATAGAGCAATTGGGAATAATTTTTGCCCAACAGATAAAAGTAAATGTTTCTGGATGTATTATTGGATTTGCACAATGTGTTAAATGAAGCCAGCTTAGGACAGGGTAGCTTGTGTTTCACTGTGTCTTTGTAGACACACAAACATTATTTTAAGATGTTGGATGATTAAGGCATAAAACTTTATGGTTGTTGGGAAATAGCATATTACTAAAATCAAGATTTTAGGTTTATCATATAGATAGATAGATAGATAGATAGATAGATAGATAGATAGATAGATAGATAGATAGAATTCTTTATTGGCCAAGTGTGATTGGGACACACAAGGAGTTTGTCTTTGGTGCATATTCTCTCAGTGTACATAAAATGAAAAGATATATTCATCAAGAATCATAAGGTACAACGCTTAATAATAGTCATAGGGTACAAATAAGCAATCCAATCATACTAGGAAACAATCAATATAAATCGTAAGGATACAGCAACAAGTTACAGTCATACAGTCATAAGTGGGAGGAGATGTGTGATAGGATATGAAGTCAACTACTCAAGTTTAACTGTCAGTTTTGGAAGACAGTTTTCTTTTTTGCTTCTTAACTGCCACATATTTTAGCTGGGGAAGTTGGGCAGGGGTTGTTGTTGGAGCGGTAGAAAGTCATAACAACGTTCCGTATTCAAGGACTTTTGCCTGCGTCTGATGGAGACTGCAGGAAGATTGTATCCACTCGAGTGTGAAGAGTTGATTGGACAATGTGATGGACTTGTGGGTGTGGGGCAGGGCTGTGAACTGTCAGCTGGGTGGAGAAAACCTGGAAGCTTTCAGATTCAGGTTTTCCCAGATGTGCCAACATGACATCTCTGATTAATTGGAACTTTGAGGAACTTCAGGCCTCAGAGCTTTATTTCATTGAGGGTGTTCCTTGGAACCCTGACATTAACATTATTAACTGACAACTAGTTTTGTAATTTTCCTTCCTATAAAGCAGGGGTCTCCAACCTCTGGGATGCGTACCGATACCGGTCCATGCCCAATTAGGAACCTGGCTGCACAGCTGGAGGTGGGCAGAGGGCAAGCAAATCCTACTGTAAACTGAACATGTGTGGGATCTAGGTTGCACCCGCCTCCTACCCCCTGGTCCATGGAAAAATTGTCTTCCAGAAAACTGGTCCCTGGTGTCAAAAGGGTTGGGGACAGCTGGTGTAAAGCACATAATACATACTGGTATTCCATCACCTTACACCTTACATACGGGAGTGAACTTCACTGAGTGATTCTTATTGTAGTGTGATGTAGACAGAGAGAATGTTTTTGTCCTCCAGCATCTTCACAAGTGCATTCGGGCTTAATTGATGAGTTGGAAAGTGCCACTCTGTTGGGCTTAGATCCAGGTGACTGCATGCAAATACTTACCATTTTAACCTAGCTCCAACATCAATTCATAACTGTTCTTCTTCCAAAGATAGTTCAGTAATTTAGCTGATTCCACCAGTCTACCTCATCTGTCGTCCGCTTGCATTTCTCTGAACTTTGCTATGAATCTTCCACTTATTTATTAACACAAGATGATGTAGTGTCCTTAAAATGCAAAAATAAGCTTATCACTAGCTAGCGCAGGGGTCAGCAACCTGCAGCTCTGGAGCCGCATGTGGCTCTTTCACCCCTCTGCTGTGGCTCCGTCACTCAAAATATGCATCACAACTGCCAATGTGCAACACCCGCCGGCACACAATTTATTGAGCTTTTCAACCCGATAGGCCAACCGTGGAAAAATCCAAGAAAAGAAAAGTTTCAGAAGAAAACAGAATGTTTATTTCAACTACATATACTAGTTTTGTGGCTGTTCAAGAAACATAGGCACAAGAAGGTTTTTGTGGCTCCCGGTGTTTTCTTTTCTGTGGGAAATGGGTCCAAATGGCTTTTTGAGTGTTTAAGGTTGCAGACCCCTGACCTAGTGTCATTGGAAGAAATAGTACCTTTTTACCAGTCACTTAAGGAACATGGATGGTATGTTCTATAACAGCGTTGCAAGAATCCTCAGCTTCTCATTTGCTTGACCATTGTCAGAAAAGGTTTTTTGGATTAGGCATATTTTCGGTTGAATCCCACTCTGTTCAAAATAATAAAGCCACGTTTTGAGAGACATCTGGAACCCAAGAAAAGGGTATCTCTGGGACTATTTCCCAAATGCTCTGTGTTCATGCATGTTCTATTTCCGCTGGTGTACAAATACTTTATGGTCAATGTGCTGTTGAGTGTCTTCAAACTAGAACGTCAAGCTTTTTAACCTATCAACTTTATATTCAATTATGCTATTTTAATTGAATACTTCCAGCCACTATTTCTGTCACTGGTGTTGTATTTAAGGCTTTAGGTAATTAGATGATAAGCTAATCCTTCATGTGCTGGTCTTAAATATGTCAATAATAAGAGTTTTGTAGCCCAATGTTATGCAGGTCTCCCTGGAACTATGCCGTACCACTTTTATCTCTACAAAATTGGGTCCCTGATCAACTGTTCTAGAAAGGCAGCTAGAAAATGAATTTTAGCTCCTTCCTGATAAATGGCTAATGGGTAGATTTGATAAGTTCCAGTTCAATTGTGTGCCTATTTAATCTTATCTTTCAATAGACAACTTCTAGTTTGAGCGTTCATAAAGTATTAGTCCTGTGCTGCACTTCAAATTTGATTATGGGAAGATTCTGAATTAGAACAGGGGTGTCAAGCTCAATTTCATTGAGGGCCGCATCAGGATTGTGTTTGACCTCGGGGGGCCAGGGTGGGCATGGCCAGCTCAAAGTCACTTGCGTCGGAGGCACCTGTGGTGGCCCGAGTGCTGCCAGCAAAACCGGGCTCCTGAGCTCCGTTTTTGCCTGCAATGGCGTCCTGCAACCCTTTGCCAGCAAAAACAGAGCTCCGTGCAGTTTCCAGGGTAGCCCCACAGGCCAGATCTAAGTATCCGCAGGCTGGATCTGGCCCCCGGGCCTTCTGAGTTTGACACCCCTGAATTAGAAACTCTTTAAAGCAGTAGTGTCTTTCCTGGGATTATGCAGAAACTGCAGAGGGCAGTCACGTGATACTGGAGGATGCAGCTATTTTTACAGTTCCAGGCAATTCTGAAATTCTTGTGTAGTCCAAAACATCATCTTAGTATCTAATCCAAAGTTCTCAATAGCAATACTTGTTTTATTCAAATCGAAGAATATGCTAGGAACTGAAAGCAAACACTTTGTTATATTGAAACGTTAAGAACTTGAGTTTATCATAGAGGTTACCATGCATTGAAGCAATAATTTCATTCATTTCAGTTAAACAGAAGGCCTCTATGTCAATACTAGTTTAACTTTCGATTTTAAAATTATCCTACACAAAGAATTCTTGACAGCACAAGCTAGTCAGCTGTTTCCTCATTATATCACTGCTACTGAGATCACATTCTGTCACTCAAGAAACTTTTATTATGCCCAATCTTAGTGCTTCCCATTTCAATATCTCAAAAATTAATATGCTGCATTCTCATCAACCTCAGAGAGTATACAACCTGAATGTTTGTGGGAATATAACTAGAAGACTACTTCCCTAAATTCAGTGTAATGGGATTATGATCAGGCTTGCTAGTTCCAATGAGATTTCATTATGGAGTAGCAATATTTCAGTATCATCCATTAAGTACCATATTTAACACTGACACAGGAAACAATTCAGCGAATAAAAAATAACTGAATTTACTTTCAGCTAGATTTCCCCCATTCTTTCACAATTCCTTTTCCATATGTTTAAGAATTGGTGTATTACATTATTTGGAAGTTACTCTGAGTTACTATGTTTACAGTCACATAAATATGCTTTAAGCAAATTGAATAAGAAAAATGGCAACATTAGTTTTAGCGGCTGCCAAATGTAGCTTTTAATGAGTTCAATCAGAAAAAACTAAAATGTTCTTTTTCCCCCTCACTGGAGCCTAATATGCTCCTGAATTCACTAATTCCAAATACATTTTATTTGAACCTGAATGTTTGTTAAACTGAAATGAAAGATATTTAAATGTACTTTATCTTCAGATGAATTGCAACCGTTCCTCAATTCTAACTTCCTTATTGTTTTTGAGTGATAGTTCTAGTTTTAGATGTGTGTTTTGAATATTACACATAGACACATTCAAATTAATGCTTGCTTTAAACATTTGGGTTTATTATTTTTTTAAGGAGTTAGGAATACATTTTCATAATCAAAAGGCAAATACAATGAGATCGTACAATGAGACAAAGACCTTTCCTGATTCCACAGTTTTACATTTAAGACAAAATTCTTAGTGGAATGTTATGACGTTAATTTAGTAGAGACTAGACTGGACACTTCCAAAATTGTAGCACTGCTCCCTTAGACTGGTGTAGTAGATCTATTCACATGGATTCTGGATAACAATAAGGAGATACTCCTTATCTGTGGGAGGAGGAAATATAAAATGATGAAACACAGCAATTTTTAATTCCACGTTTGATTTCTAATATTCCTTTTCATAATTTATTATGGTTGACACAAACAAAGCCACTGCTTATTCCAGTTTCCCCATAATGGGAAGTAAAACTTCAATTTTCAATACAGTAACGTAATAGTTCAATACCATTATGATGTATAAACCAAAAAAAGCCCAAGAGAAAATCTGCTTAATATTTTACACTATCTTCCAAATGTAAACTCTTGCAATAATGGTTAATTATTGCAACTGTCTGTTAATTGGGCAAATCCATCTTGGAACAATTATTCCCATTACGTAACAAAGCTGCCTTAGATCAGTTCTTCATCTCGTTCAGTATAGCCACCAGCTGGATTCAGATGCTGCCACAACCCTGACAGATAAAATAAGACTCTGCTGCCTTGATATGTCAACACTTGAAAGCCCTGGCATCAGGCAGCTTATCCTTAAAGTGATCCCCAGCTTAAATAATGTATGATTAAACAGACATTTTGTGGCAGGCCTGCAGAAATTTAAAGAACATCACCAGCCATCAAAGCAATGGCAGGGAAAAGACAAAAGTTATTACCTGGGGCAACCATAATTTCATGTTTCTTTGATCTAATCCTGAGAAAGGTGAGATCGTTCTGGGGATCAATGTCTCGGACGGTGCTCTTTGCTTTCATGGTGAGCTGATGGAGAAGGCCAGCATACTGAACTGTGGTGGAGTTGTCGAGCGTTGTTCGGATTGGGATCCCTGAGAAAAGGAATATTAGGAATGGCTTTCAAATGTCACCAAACTTTTCAATGCTATCAATACCCTGGGCGAGAAAAAAAAAATCCAGCTGTGCCTAAACTGAGAACAGCCCATCCTCTGGTATTCAGAGGATTCCAATAAATACTAAATTAGAGGTTGACAGCACAAATTTCTTGGTCTGAAACATTTGACAGCTTCTGGAGTCATACAGAATACTATAGTTGGAAGGGACCTTGAAGGTCTTCTAGTCCAACCCTCCCCCCGCCCCCCATGAAGAGAAGACCATTTATAATGCCTGTATAATCTCTTTTTAAAAATCTCCAGTGAAATTAATGGTTCTGCTCTCAGGTGATTTGGAGAATAGGTGGAGAATCCTCTCCTATCTGGAAGACAGCTACCATGTCACACCAGTCCCTCACTTCGTTAGACTAGACATTCCAAATTCCTCCAACCGATCATCGTATGCTTTAGCTCCAGTTCCCCTCATTTTCTCAGCTCTTCTTTGTACTCTTTCTAGAATCTCAATATCTTTTTTGCCTAATGGTGACTAAATCTGGACACAGTATTCTGAGCATGGTCTCACCAAAGCAATATACAAAGGAGATGGCTTTTCAATAGGAAATGTGGAGACTCTAGAAAAGAGTGCAGAGAAGAGCAACAAAGAGGATTAGGGGACTGAAGGCTAAAACATATGAAGAACAGTTGCAGGAACTGGGTATGTCTAGTTTGATGAAAAGAAGGACTAGGGAAGACATGACAGCAGTGTTCCAATATCTCAAAGTACCTGAAGGCAGGACAAGAAGCAATGGGTGGAAACTAATCAAGGAGAGAAGCAACTTAGAACTAAGGAGAAATTTCCTGACAGTTAGAACGATTAATCAGTGGAACCACTTGCCTCCAGAAGTTGTGAAGTCTCCAACACTGGACGCTTTTAAGAAGAGGTTGGATAACCATTTGTTTGAAGTGGTGTAGGGTTTCCTGCCTAAGCAGGGGATTGGACTAGAAGACCTCCAAGGTCCCTTCCAACTCTGTTATTCTATTTTATTCTAGACATGATTCCATAAGACAGGTTGGCAATCACTGCACAAGAAATAAAAAAAATCAGATGTTTGAAGTAATTTATTAAATTTCATGTGTGCAACACTGACATCCATGAGCTTACTTTTATAGAATTGCCCTGTCAAGCAGGCCATGACTTGGGAGCTTCTCTTTCTGATACATCGCCAAGAACAGATGAAACTAATTGTTGCCGTAGGGGAGAAATCTTCCTTACAATCTCTGTTTTATGCCAGAGGCCATCCTGAAAAGGACAGAAGCTTTGGGTACTTTAATGCCCTGGGATATTAATCCGAGTGAAAGCCCATCTTTGCCAAATGAAGAGGGAGTTTTGATACTTCTGTTGGAAGGAGGGAATTATATCTAGTGCAAAAAAAAAAAAAAAACCCACAACCCTTTATAATGTAATTATCTTGAATTTGATGCAAGAAGCTTCACAGATTTTGGCACCAAATTACCACCAGCCTATTAAAGTTAAAGGAAAAAAGTTCATGAACTTCCGTGGCTTCCAGCCCCCAGGTCTGTTTAATATCAGATGCAAGGAAGGAAAACCTCCTAGTTTTGTGGCAGTGTGAAAGGCAGCATCAGTCTGGGCAAGGCATCAATTTAAACATGCACATATGCCAGATACAACAGACCACATCCTTGCTACAATTAACCTAATATACCTTCAGTCTAAGATCCCACTTGTTAATTGATTTCCTTGGGGATTTGTTTTACTTTTCAAAAGTACTTTTTTAAGGGATTAGCATTAAATGTTCGTGGAAAGTGAACGAGTGAATACAATAACTACAAATCAAGGAGACCTGGTTGAGGAGTGAAGTCACTGGCTGCCATCGGGTCTATATATTCTCCATTTCCCATTCATGACTACTCTACAAAGCTTTGAGCCAGTCTATGCTAAGGAGGAATTCTCTAGCAAAATATTTTGGGGTTTCAGAACTTTGGAAGAAATCATAGAGTAACATTATTTGAAGGCAGGCAACAATGATGGACTACATTACAAAAACCCTGATTTTTTTATTGGAAGGAGATAGGTTTTTTTGTGCATTTTAAAAAGGTCATAACACAAATATTAAGCCAATTTGACTTTTGCCCACAACAAAACTTTTGGGAAAGTCAAGTCATATTTTCATCTAACCATTTTTGAATTGAACATTACTAGCAGGATTGAACATTACTAACAGATCCAATTCAGCAAATTGTAAAATGTTCTGCAATTATTAAAAGCAACACAATGAAATTCAAGGCCATCTGCCATCTCCTCACTATAGTATGAATGCAAATGTCCTCGTGATCTTGTGTGTTCTTTTAGCTTAAAATAACAATGCTTTTGATGTGCTTTACTAGTTACCACTTAACCTATGGAGAAATCTACATTCATTAGGTAGGGTTTTAAGTTAATTAGTTCAATAACTGCTATTGGTGATGAAAAGAAAATCATTGTGGGGAACCAAGTCAATTGTTTTGCCTGCTGTGCTGATTAATTTCAATAGAGGATGCATTGCTTAGTTCTTACCAACTTTTCAGAAGGTGGCTTCTGGTGGGTTTTGCAAGACTAAACAAGGGCTTCGGTCTAAAAATAGCTGTCCAGTCTTGATCTATGCTGCATAAATGCAGGCTATTTATCAAAAGCAGTAACCCATGGTTAACTGCATCCACTTGAGCCACAATCAGTACACGATATTTTAGCTTAGTATGTTGTGTGACTCCAAAAATTATGTTTTTAAGAAAAATAACAAGAGTGTGCGCGTGCGTGTATGGTAGATATTTACCTTCTGCGTTTACGACGATAGTTCCAATAACTCCTTTGTGGGCCTGAATCCTTTTCAGTGTTTCCTCTACCTCCGCCTGTAAAAGAAACAAACATACTGAAGTATGAAACCTGAAAACTAGGCTGTAAGACCTCAGCTAATGTATTTTTTAACACACTACCTCTTGTCTGACTTTGGACTCTTATCTCCACAAAATAGGCAGCAACGGAGTACCAGCAAAGAAATCCTGGTGAGCAAATCTATTCCTTCCTTCCTTCACTCCCTAGCTCAGTGATGGCTAACCTTTTTGCCGTCGCGTGCCAAAAGTGGGGGGAGCGCAGGGGGGTCACGCATGTGCATGCCCACACCCATAATGCAATGCCCCCTGCCCCCCACGCATGCACATGCGACCCCCACCCCCCATGCTACCCCCGCTTTCGGCACACGATGGCATGGTGGGCCTCGTAGGCCCATTTTTCGCCCTCCCCAGACTCCAGAGGCTTTTTTGGAGCCTGGGGAGGGTAAAAACGGCCTTCCCCATCCCCCCGGAGGTCCTCCGGATGCCAGAAATGGCGCGTTTCCCAATTTCCATTGGGCCTGAAAGGCCCAAAAATCAGCTGGTGGGTGCACACGTGCTCGCTGGAGCTGAGCTAGGGCAATGCTCGCATGCCCACAGATATGGCTCCACGTGCCACCTGTGGCACACATGCCATAGGTTCGCCATCACGGCCCTAGCTTATCCAATGCTTTTCATTTTGGTTCCATTATGGATGGCCACCTGCACAATCACAGCATTTTGAAAAAGAGGTGCTCTATATGAATGAACCAACTCAGAAGCAAGAGGGAGGGTTGTGCCATGTTAAAGGCCACATGCTGAGCAGTCATGGTTGGCTGGAGTCTGTCAGTGACTTCTCTCCATGCCGTAAAAACAGAGATGAATGCATTATCCTCTGTGGTTTTCCTGCTGGCAACTGGCTCTCCCTTTTGACGCTTCCCCTTCAAAGGAAGCAGTGGTCACAGTTAAACTACCAGTGATCCAGTTCCTCAAAATCCAGTTTAATTAAACTACTGCTCTGTTTTATCTGAGCAAGCAACAGCTTCCTTCATACACAGACTGTTTCATGAAAAACCTAGCTGTAAAAATCTATACTGCACATAGACACGGCTTATAAGAGACTGCAGACAAATAATTCAACTTATTTCAAACTATTCAACATAGGGTCACAGAAGGGCCTGCCTCTCTGAATTTATACGTTTATGTAAAAATGAATGAATACCAAATGATATATTTCAAACAAATCCAGGGCTAATAATTGTAAAACTTTTACATGTTATATAGCTAAAGCTGAAAAGTGCCCCCTTTCCTTCCTTTGAAAATGTTATTATATATATTTATTTTACTAAGTAACATCCAAAATCAAAGAGCAAAAAACATTAAAATCAGCAAGTCATTAAAAATAGAACCTTATGGTATCGAAAAGAGTTCTGGAACTCATTTAAAGATGGGTAGAGAAGAAACTTGACTGTTGCTTTCAGAGAGAATTCCTTAATGACAGTGCAAGCATTTTGATATGTTTGTTTACATACTCTTCCTGGTTTCCCAGGACTATTTTACTATGTAGAAACCAAGCAAAATACTTCGTTAAAGCCCTCAACCTTTTGAATCCATAATGTCAAGTCCAGACAAGTCAAAGATCTGCATCTTAATGCATTCTATCATAATGCCATTTAGCAACTTCTCCTTTTACCTATATCTCAATAGACTCATTACTTTATCTGCCTGTCTTTGTTCTAGACAGAGGTGGGTTTCAGCAGGTTCTGACCAGTTCTGGAGAACCGGTAATGGAAATTTTGAGTAGTTTAGAGAACTGGTAGTAAAAATTCTGGCTGGCCCCACCCCCATCCATTCTCTGCCTCCTGAGTCCCAGCTGATCGGGAGGAAATGGGGATTTTGCAGTAACCTTCCCCTGGAGTGGGGAGGGAATGGAGATTTTACAGTATCCTTCCTCTGCTACGTCCACCAAGCCATGCCCACCAAGCCATGCCATGCCACGCCACGTCCACCAAGCCATGCCCACAGAACCGGTAGTAAAAAGTTTTGAAAACCCACCACTGGTTCTGGAGTATGTAAAGCATCCTCATAAGTGGGGCAAATAACCTCTAAATGCTTTTTTAAATAAAATAAAGTTAATTCAGTTGAGATCAATGGGGCTTACATAGGCAGAAGATCCATAGTTTTAGTTCTTAGATAATAACTCTCTTGCTTTTGAATTGCATGGTCTTTCCCTTCCGTGCACACTTGCTCTTGTAAGTAATGAAGATAAAAGGCTTGGAAACTCCTTTGGTGTCCTATAATGTTTTCTTGGCATGTAAGGTATGCGAACAGGGTCTTTCCCCTTCCTTACTTTCACTTTACCTAAAACCTAAGGAGGTTCCTGAGACCCTTTCCCCACTCCACCTTTCCTTAGGACTCAATTTTCATTCATCAGACCGTGGTCTGGTCTATCTCCTCCTCCCATCTTCGAAATTAAGAGTCCTTGCTTTATAGAAAAGTAACCCTCGACAGACTGAGATGGCCCTGTCCCTACCGGCCTTTCATAAGGTTGGGAAGATGTGGCTATTTCTCTAGGTGTTTGACTTACCCTGTTGTCCATCCTTGTGTTTATGATTGAGGGTGTCACTTGCCCAGGGTGCCATGGGGGCAACTGTTTTAATGATTGGCCTTTAATATTTCACGCCAAGAATACAAATCCTTCCATTTCCCCCCCCGCCCCCACCATTCATTCAGTCAGAACCGAAGAAGCTTCTTGGGTGAGAAGCGAAACGTCTTCAAGGAAAGAAAAAAAAACCCCAAAGAAAATCCGATCGCCTTTTGAAAAAAGCACTTTCTAACCTTGAAAGCCACCTACGGCCCTGTCAATGGGAGACCTGGAGGTAGACTACCCCACCCAGAATTCCCAGCCAGTCCAAGCGGGGCAGGATAAGATTCAACACCCCCGACCCGACATTGCTCTCCTCCTCCTCCTTTCCCACCCAGCCATCCGGCTCGCTCACAGACGCCCCTGCCTGCCCCATCGTTCCCAAACCCCGTCCCTCCGTTTTACCATGACGAGGCTCCAATCGAGCGGCGTCCACCGGCTAGGCCTCGGTTGCTATGGAGTCCCAACCGGAAGCGGCAGGGCGGGAGAAGGGCTGAGAGGCCGGAAGTGTGATGGCGAGAAGAGGCGGAGCTTAGGTGGAGTGGCTTTTTTTTTTTTTGCTCTTTGCTTCTCGGTCACATGGTCTCGGCGGCTGTCTGTCTGTCTGTCTGTCTATGCAAAGCATTGGCGCTGCAATGAAGGAGCGGGGAGAGATTTCTAGCTAGAACCAGGATAGGAAATGGGTTTAAAATCAGGGGTCTCCAACCTTGGCAACTTTAAGACTTGTGGACTTCAACTCCCAGAATTCCTCAGCCAGTTCTGCTGGCTGAGGAATTCTGGGAGTTGAAGTCCACAAGTCTTAAAAGTTGTCAAGGTTGGAGACCCCTGGTTTAAATGCTTGGAAGAAGGTTGAGGTTAGGGTGCGGTTGTCCCTATTCAAAGTTCCTGTTTCTTCAGGGTGGTTATTCTGGGGGGGGGTGTTTCAAATGAGAGGAGAGACCCCTCTGCCATCAAATTAGAGCACTGTCTTTCAATCTTAGCAACTTTTAAGCCTGGCGGATTTCAACTCCCAGAATTAAAATTAAAAACAATATCACTCTTCTCACTTTTTAATAAAAACAAGTTTTTTTTTCATTTAAAGAAATTAAATTTAATTTAAAAAATTAAACATCTTTAATTTAATAAATAGTAGCTTTATTATTGTAATTTTTATTTTATTTTTTTGAAAAGTTTCTCAGTTTTATTTCTTATAGACATAATATAAAATGTGCATTTTCTTATACATAATTAATCATACATATACATGTTTTCCTTAAAGAAAGCATTAAAATAAGGCATTTTAATTACATTCGGAATTGCTCTTCTACCCTTCCCTCATTTCGCAACAAACCTTCTTTTTCTACTCTTTCCCTTCCCTTCCTCCTCTCCTACTTTCTCCTTCCTCCTCTGCTACCTCATCCTACTTCACCTTCCTTTCTCCCATTCCTCTCCTTTCCCCCCTTCTTTCAAGGCTTGTTTCCTTATTTAAAAAAAGCCCCGTTAAAGAGATTGCTTTGAGTTGAAGGATTGCAACCATCCTCTAGATGGTGCTACCATTATGTTACATGGAGATAAACACAATTTCTGCTTGAAAGAGTGATTTGATTCCATGTTCCCCTTGGATCCTGGTGCAAGAATACCAACATGCTTTTTCGAATGTAACTTGGGTTCAAGAATTGCGGTTGACCAGGATGAAATAGAGCTTGTGGAGTTAATTAGCAATAAGGCTTAAAAAATAATTATGTTTTGCACAAGGATGGATTTACTTTGACAATAAATATTAGTCCAGTCCAATTCTTTGCTTGATCCTGGATGTCTTCCTCAAACACACCTTTTGCAGGCCACTCAAGTCCAGCTAAGACAATTCAAGCCATAGCTGGTGTTTTTGATTAAATGCAGGCTGCGAGTACCTCCAGAGTGCCAGCAATTGCACCTGCCTTTGAATGCTAATGGAATTTTACCATTTTCTTTTTTTCTATAGAGAGCAGATGTAAGTCTCTGGAAATCACTCCTTTATATCGGGAGCAAATTGATAATAACTTCAGCTTGCTTGGAAATGGCACAGCCTTCTTTTTATTCCATCAGCGCAATAAGCTTACGGAGCAGTTTGTAGGGAATAAATATTTCATATTCTGCTAACTTTTCAGACCCAGTTTGAAGGAAAGTTTGAATACGACAGTTTCTCATCGGGGATCGACTCCTCTCCGCCCCCCACCCCCCAAATACAGTGGCTTTGAAACCATTTATTTGTCTCAATTGTAGGGAGAGACTGGTAGCTTGGTAGTAGAACACATATTTTAAAGGTAGAATATCCTGGAGTTATCTCTGAAGGTGGCTCTCGCCTCACAATCAGGAGGCTGTGAGTTCGATCCTAGGTAGAGGCAGATATTTCTCTCTCTGGGCACGATGAGAATATTCCGCATTGGGGACTGGAAGGACATCCAGGCCCAGCCAGTAAACACCCGGCTCCATTCAGTTGCTTTACAGCTCTCTCTAAGCGGTTTACAGAGTCAGCATCTTGCCCCCAACAATCTGGGTCCTCATTTTATCATCTTTGGAAGAATGGAAGGCTGAGTCAACCTGGAGCCAGTCAGGATCAAACTCCAGACTATGGGCAGAGTTTGCCTGCAATACTCCATTCTAACTACTGTGCCACCAAGGCTCCTTTAGTTTATTTTAGTTTGGCAAGATTTCTGTCTCTAGGTGAGAAACCATAAAGAGACATGCTTTGAAGCAGCCCAATGTGTATTTCTTGGTTTTTGGAATCTGACCACAAGTTTTGTTGTCATTTACTGATATAATAGAGTTGGTAAGAGGTTTGTCAAGATACACTATAGAGATATAAGCAATACCCTGTTTTCCCCAAAATAAGACATCCCCTGATAATAAGCCCAATCAGGCTTTTGAGTGCATGGCAATAAGGCCAAGCGCTTATTTCAGGGTTCAAAAAAAATATAAGACGGGGTCTTATTTGCAGGGAAACACGGTAATACAGTTTTCTCAGTCATTTTAAACTAACATTTTAAGTATGTTACGCATGCTACCAAAGGTTCTTACAAAGTTTATTATTTAAACCATGGTTTATTGAATAAATCACATCAAGCCATAATCTATGTCTTGCCCAAACTATATGCCCACCATACCACAGTTTATTAAAGTGGACTAAATAAATATTACAGAATCAAATGAACTAATTTGCTAATTCTGGATTATAATTTTGTGGTTTCAAAAGTGAAATTGCGTTTCCACATAATTAAGGAGTAAATCAGATGTTTCATTACCCAACTAGGCACACTGCACTGATGATGTTACCTATTTGGATAATGAAATGTCTGCAAGAAAACAATCAGGCTCACAGAACACCAGGGACCCCACAATTCTACCCTGAGCTAGTCTCTTCTGTGTCGGATCTTCATTTCATAAAGCTACTTGTTCAGTTGTTGGGCCCGCCAGCAGCCTGCACGGATTGTTGCTGATCCCGACGACGAGGAGGCTGGTGTGATGCTGCGCCAGCAGCCTGTGCAGCCGGCGCTCGAGTCGGACAATGAGGAGGCTGAAGAAGAGGTGGTGCCAGAGGCGGGGATTCAGCCAGGGCCTTCAGAACCTCCAGAGGCTCCTTTAAGTGAAGAGGATGAAGAGGAGGAGCCTCTTCCCAATGCACAGGCACGCAGAGCTGCCAAAAGACAGGAGTGGCTCCTCAGGAGGAGGTCTCCTCGAGAGTAAGGCTTGGGGCTAATTGGCCACTCCCTTAGCCTATTTAAGAAAGAACGCAGCTTGCAACAAGCTGCAGGAAACAACTTCAGTTCGCTAATCATCGCATTGGGATTTCTTTACAACCTTGCTTCTGGGCTTTTTGCCAACTCCAGTAAGACTCTGAATCTTATCTGTGGAATTCTGGCAGGCTGTTAAGAACGCTTTTTAACAGCTGGCATTTGCTAAAACTGCGTTATTTGAGTAAACTAAGTTTTTTTCAGAGTTTGTGTGAGCTGTGTTCTTTGGGATCTGTAGCTGGGGCAGAACATCAGTGTAAAATAGTTCTGTGCTGACATCTGTCTTGCAGGTCCTCAGAAGTTTTGTTCCTCTGCAAAATAAATAAATAAATAAATTTTCACGATTGCACTGAATGGAGCAATGCATTAAGCGACCCAGCCTAGCCTTACCGGTTGAATTTCTCCTTCATGTGGCATTGTAACTTAGTGAACCTCTAAATGCTTTAGTTACCTTCTCTGCCTCTCTGACAGCTTGCTAACCAAATGCATTATTCAGTTCAATCTCTCAGCAGCCCAGAGGCTGCAAAGGACAGACGGTGCTAAATCTACGCAGAAATCTCTGGACACAATGTCAGAATAACATTCCTTTGATGGATCTGCCACTCCAAGAGTGCTGCGCAGGAAAAGCAAGTTAATAAATAACATACTAGTTTTGACATCTGAGAAGAACGGGGAACCCTACTGCTCTGCTGCTTTTTGGTGGGAGGAACAGGGGAGGGAAAAAAACAACAACAAACCACGCTCCTGCTAGCTTCAGAGCTGGTGAGATGCTTTCATTAGGCCTGGGTGTAAATAAAAGCCAAGGAAATGTTCATTGCTTGTAGGAGCCTAAGTAACGGAAATGTAAATAAGGGTGTCTGTCTTCCCAAACTCTCTTCTTGAGTATGATTCATGAGTTTCCTTGTGGAATTTCAAATGGATTCCCGGGTGCAATTGTCAATAACTTGGTGATCCATAATGCACAGACAGCAGTTGCTCTTCTTGACTCCTGAATGTTAAAGTTGATGGAGCTCCTAGAAGATTTGGTGTAGGTATTACCCAGCAACAGCCTTTCATGCTTCTTGGCTTACATTACCCCATTTAACTCTTTAACAGCCAGCAAGTGTAAGTGGAAAATTGCTTCTTTATGCCTACATGCATGGACATTACTTTGGTGTAACACTGCGAGGAGCGGTCTCCATAATTTCGTTCTGATCTTTCTATTCCTCACAAATTTCCTCCAACTGGTACCTTTTAGAAGTTTTATTTATTTATTTATTTATTTATTAATCAAATTTCTATACCGCCCTACTCCCAAAGGACTCAGGGCGGTGAACAGCCAAGATAAAATACAGATAATACAAATATTAAAAATCCCTTAAAATTATTAAATATTTTGGCCGAAACACAGATTAAAACACCCAATTTATATTCACCCAATTTTGAGACTAGAAAGCACAGAGGAATTCTGGGAGCGTTGCTCCCAAAATATCACAGAATCCCCAAGTTGGGGAAGGAATCAGTGGTGGGTTTCAAATTTTTTTACTACCGGTTCTATGGGTGTGGCTTGGTAGGTGTGGCATGGCTTGGTGGGCAGGGCAGGGGAAGGATACTGTAAAATCTCCATTCCCACCCCACTCCAGGGGAAGGATACTGCAAAATCCCCATTCCCTCCCGATCAGCTGGGACTCTGGAGGCAGACAATAGATGGGGGCAGGACCAGCTAGAGGTGGTATTTACCAGTTCTCTGCACTACTCAAAATTTCTGCTACCGGTTCTCTAGAACTGGAAAGAACCTGCTGAAACACACCTCT